AGTACATCTATATTTAGTGTGCATGCAAGGGCAATTACAGGGGAGCATAAAAGAAGTCAAGATGGCAGTTTACCCACACAACTGAGGTTCTGCCTTGTTTATGTGGTTGCTTTTTACAACCACATGTAAAAAGGGGGGACTTCAATTGGCCCTCTGTCTTGACCTTCTTATACTGCACTCTGGTCTCCCACAGAGGCCCTTGTATGAATACATGTCCAACAGACCAATAAGTCTATTTGGTAATTTAAGGACATGTTGATATGAGTGCCGTGGTGGGTATGGCAAGTCCTGTGTCAAAAGGCAAACAAGGCACTAGTCACCACTATTTTATTTCTCACAATTTATACAAAATCCAAAGGCATTGTTGCAAGTAGAGGTTATATCTGAAGCTTGGATTTTGTTTTTCTCATTTCCTATCATGTTTTAAAAGAAAACTATCTTGAAAAATAAATGAGTAGATCAGAGCATGGCAGGTACCAATGACTGTGTTGGCAGGTACATTATTGTCTTCTGTAGCCACACTGAAGACCCAGCAAACATGACTTAAGCTGTTTAAAATTTAATGGGAGTTGCATAGTCTTATTCCTTTTTTAATTATAGAAGTCCATCATGTGAAAGAGGAATACATTTTCAAAAACCAAGCATAGGTCTTTTTTTTTTTTTAGGTGAAATGTTCTGTTTCTTATTTGCAGCTGTAGCTTAGCCAAAGAAATATTTGTTTCTCTTGAGGGCAACAATATTGTCTTTATGAAGGGGTGTTATGCAGCCTTGATCAAACATTTATATTGGAGAGCAAAGCTTATAAATATCTGATGTTTTTATTTTCAGGACAGCTCATGCAGATTTGTGACTGATATTGAAATAATTGGGAATTAATTAATAATTCAGATTTGAAGACAGTTAGCATTCTATTTTGGGAGGACATGTTGACTGGTTTAATTCTTGATATCATTTTATTAACCACATAAGATTTTGTCTGAGAACTTGATCAAAATAGAAGGTATAAGTGCCTTAATGCAGAAAGACTGAATAGAAATTTGGGAGACACTCAGAATTCTTGGGTTCTGTAGAAAAGTTGCAATTCATTTGCAGAAAATCTAAGAATCCATTTCAAGATAGAACAACTTCTAAGCTTTCTTTATGTGGGTGTTGTGATGGCTTATAGCTTTTCCTGACAGTTGGTAAAAACTATATCTGGTGGGAGAGAAGATTGATACTGGTTTTATTTTTGATAGGATGAAGGAGGCTGTGTGGAGCAAAATAAGGTGACCAACCGTCCTCCTTTAGGGAGGACAATCCTCCTTTTGTAAGTTCTGTCCTCCCTCAAAAAGTGTCCTCCTTCATGTCTTCCTTTTCAATATTTGAAGACTAATCTGCAGGGCTTTTTTTTTTTCCCCTCATAGAACGCTCAGAACGGCGTTCCGGCACCTTTTTTTGATGTTTTTTTTTCAACTTTTGCATGAGCTGTGCTACTCCCACTATTGACTTTCGAAAGCTAATAGGACTTGCTGCTGAGCGCGCCAAAACACCCAGCTGGCAAATTTTGCACATGCAAGTTGTCTGTATTATTTTTGCAATGAATAAAATGTTTCTTTTATTTACAATATTTTTTTCTTCAATTTATTTGTGTCCTCCTTTTCATTGTAAAAAAGTTAGTCACCTTAAGCAAAAACAATATTATATCATTCTATCCAATTCTAACTCCACTCTTGCCAAATTTATATTTTGTATGAAATTCCATTTTAACAACCTTGTTTCAGAAGCATTACTATGGACTATTTGATGTAATTTATGTATTCTCATTTCTTGTTGTTGCAGTGTGAAAAGAAGGGCCTTAAAAACTACTTGTTTCTTGTAATCTATTTTATCTAGAAGCATCCTTTTCTTATAGATGTTATATAGCAAAAACAGTTGTTTCAGAAAGGTACAAATTTTAAGAAATCCATTGTAACTATGAAATAATAAAATGGAGCAAACGTTTATGCAAAAATATAACTTTTACATAGGATCAGGACAAACAGGAAATCTTAGCATGAAAAAGATTATAATCTCAGCATCATCTACTATTAAAAATATTTAATTTTAAGACATCTATGACAATTCTCAGTATCCAGGTCATGGTGGTCCCAAAAGTGCTTTCCCCCCCCCCCCAAAAGGCAACTGGACTTTGTTTGTTTTTTTCCTTGAAGACGTTTCACTTCTCATCCAAGAAGCTTCTTCAGCTTTAATTTTAAAACATCATCTTTAATTGAACAATTATGACATGGGATGAGCTCTACCCTTATCTTATCTCATATTACTTTTTAAAGTATAATTCTTTGAAAAAAATCAATACTTTTGGTTTGCTTTTTGGTGCAATTGCTATTGGAGAAAGTACAACTAGGGTAAAAATATTGCTTTTATTTTTAGCTCGGTCCCTTTCATGATCTCTGTACAATGGGAATTGCAAGTCAAACACAAAACAAGTGCATCCAGGGTTGCATAGGTCAAGAGTATCATCCCAACTCTCATTTGCACTCCAAGTTTTGAAGCTGTTCCATCTGTCATGATTCCTGGTTTTGCCAAATGTTTGTCTCCATCTGTTAATGACATCTGGTTCCACCTGCCATTAGCTGTTGTGCCTCACTAAGTTGGATATCTGCCATCACTGACTGCCCTAATCTGCAGCCAATAGAGACCCATTTGAATAAAGCTTTATGGCTGTCTCTAAATGCTGATCTTGGTGCATGGCAGTGATTACATCTGAGTTGAATACATAGGGGCTGCAAACATTTGTGACGCTCTTTCTTTTTTCTCTGAAGCCATTTGTTCCCTACTATGCCCCAATCTTCCTAACTGTATCTCTCACAAGCGGACAGTGGAGTTACACATGATGAATTTACTAGCTCTTTTAATTAGATTGGGGAGGATCATTTTGCTGCCCCTTTCCCTGCTTGCTTCAGAAAAATTCAACTGGCTGCATTTCTTTAGATAGTGGGGCACTCCACTTAATGCTCCAGGCTGCATCTGAGAGGAGTGTGCAGTTTGTATTGTTGTTGGGTTGCATCTCAGTGGAATACATAATTGCAATAAGTTAATTTATGGCCCTTGTTGAATGCGTTAGTATTTCATCTATACAGTATGCTGTAGGGAAAACAATGAATCGCCCTCTTTCTAAACAGACAGGCTGCTTTTTCCATGTCATCCAGTCTATGGACATATAAATTACTTACACGACACTTGGAATTTGCAGAGCATTTATGAATGTTTTATCAATAGTCTCACAACCCCATCAAACTGACTATTCTCATTTTACAGAAACAAAATTGCTCTTATCTAAGCCCCTAGCACAGGGCTTTTCAACTGGTGGTACGCATACTACCGGTGGTACTTTGGCACCTGGTAGGTGGTACGTGACCATCCTAGAGAAGGGGGAGAGGGGGGAGAGGAATGAGCTGAAGCGGCGGCACTGCTACACAAGCAGTGCGTAGCTGTAGGTGCATGGAAAAGGAGGGCAGATAGAGGAAAGGATATAAAAAGAGGAGATTTTGGCAGGAAAGGGCCAGCGAGGGGCTGCCCCTGCCCTACTCCCTGGGTGCGAGCACTGGGCAACCCTGCTGACTGCTTAGAAAGAAAAGAGGCAAGCCCAGAGTTGAAGTCCACATGCCTTAAAATTGTCAAGGTTGAGAAACACTGAGCTAGACTGTTAATATTTTAAAGAGCTAATGCTGTTAAATGGTACTGGAGTTTGGTATAGTAGTAAAGGCACCAAGCCAGAAACTGAGAAACCCTGGGTTTTAGTCCTGCAAAGGTAGCTGGATGACCTTGAGCCAGTCATTCTCTCTCAGCCCTAGGAAGGAAACAGTGGGAAACCACTTCTGAAATCTTGCCAAGAAAACTTGTGGAACTAGTCTAGGCAGTCATCAAGTCAAAAACACGCAAACACACCCAAGCACGCATGCACGCACACACACACACACACACACACACACACACACACACACACACACACTGATACTAAGGATGCCAAACGTTCATATTCCTGAATATGAAATTCTTATCTTCAAACTCATATTTTGATATCTAGAATTACATAATGCCTGCAACAGTGTTTTGCATGTGTTTATTTCAAACCTTGACTGAGGAAGCAACCTAGAAGGAGAGAGAAACAGCTGGAGCTGAAGATGAATAAAATGAAATGTAGAGAAAATTGACAACAAAGATGGAGAAGAAAGCAGGCAAGAGAGACCTGAATATGAATGAGTGTGAACAGAGATGTCCGAAAGATGCTTTTTCACAAGGCAGTTTGACTTTCTTGTTTTTCTTTGAAGATGTTTCGCTTCTCAGCCAAGATGCTTCTTCAGCTCTGGTTGGATGGTGGGGAATGGAAAGATTTATATTCCTTGCAGATAGCTGTTCATTTGCATTCTTTTAGCAAGTCATTAATGCTATCTGGAAGCTTTTCTGTGTCGGAAGGGTCCCCTGAGTAGGGCAAATGTGTGTGGAGCCTTCTTGGAACTGTTGAAAGGACTGTGTTGTAGACTGGAGATAGATGATGCCATATCTCTCCACCCCAAGCATAAAACACTGAGACAAGGCAAAATCCACATTTTGGATAGAGAGGAGCGCTGGTTTGAAAGAGGGGTCAAAGAGGCCATCCATGTGAAAATTGAACAGCCCTCTCTCAACAGAGGGGGAGGAATATGACATCTATCAAAGATGATGTCTTCAAAACAAAAAACAAAAAAAACAAGAAAGTCCAGTTGCCTCCCGAAAAAGCATCTTTGGGATAACTATGACTTGGCTGACTGAGAATCTCCATAGACACTGAATAGAGAGATGGTAAGAGAGAGAGTATTTGGTATTTCTAATTCTGCCTTTTCTGGCATGTGATTCATAGAACTTTTAAGAGAATGTGATTCTCAGGTTATAAAAAAAAAACCCCACCCTATCCGCTGTACAATATACAAAGACCATATTTAGCTATATAGTTAAGTTAAAAATGTGTCTTTCTCATGCAGGCTCAACATACTATGACAATGTCCGTCCACTAGCCTATCCAGATTCAGATGCTGTTCTTATCTGTTTTGACATTAGCCGTCCTGAAACTCTGGACAGTGTCCTTAAAAAGGTGAGATTGCTAAAGGTGCTACTGAAGTGGAATATGAAGATGTGATGGTAAAACTAAGAAGAGCTTATTTTATTTTTGAAATATAGGTTTTCCTATCACCTGGAGACAAAGAGGAACTCTCCTTCAAAATCACAATTGTATCACTATAGTTTAAAAACAGTGTATTATGAGAAATGCTAAACATCTGATTAATAATGGAAAATTGAAATATTGCAAAATTATCAAAATGTGTCATAGAAACATGAAAAGACAAATGGTGTTGGAAAAATAGCACTGATAAATCCACTCATTGGAGGGTTGCCGTTAACCAGGGATGTCAAACTGGCAGCCCACTGGCCGGATGCGTCATGTGCAGGCCATGCCCATCCCAGCTCCGCAAAGGCAAAAAAACGTCACGGTACATCACAATATGTCATGCAATGTGATCGAGTTTGATACCTGTGCAATAAACCCTTTATTTGCTCAAATAAATAAATAAATAGATAGATTTGAAACTCAGTAAAGCAAAGCACAATAAAATGAGCTATGTCTGTATATTTAAAAAAAACAAGGAAAACAGAGCATGTCTCTATCTCAAACCTTGTAGTCTAATTTTGGAAAGCATCCTCGGTTTTTGCACATGTTGACAACTTTTATGTGTCTCGGGACTGGAATGGTGGCTTCCTACACCAGATACAATTAGTCTTTAATTTATAGCCAGTAGTGGGATTCAGCTGATTCACACCACTTTGGCAGAACCCAATACCTATTTTTTTTTTTTTTTGTTAAATTCAGCAAACCAGTTATGATCATCTGTCAGTGTAGAAACTAAAAAAGCAGGAAATGTAACCTAGGGAAAGATACACTACTCTGGACTCCTTGTAATATTCTGGGAATATCACAAGATAAACTACCTTCACTTTTCAACAGTGATACAAGTAAAATTTGACCGGATTTCCTCCAGAGGAATTTAGGAGTTTCTGTCGGGGATAGTGGCATCCTCAGCCACACAGCGGTACCTGGAGACGCCCAGACTAATTGTTCCAATCCAATTCCCTTTATTCCCACTTTGTACCAGATTCAATCCTGTGCTGCCCCCTCTGTAGAGCTTGGAATACTTATAGTCACTGCTACATCTCTTTGAGCAGGGAAGACGCACATCTAAACACAGTCCCCATGAAAGGACCTCCGGAGCTGCCCCTTCTCCTTCTCTCTCTCTGTGGGATGCCCCTGAGCTTGGTCCAGCGGGAGGAGGAGGTTTCCATGGGAAAGGACCTGGCCCTTCGAGGCTGAGTGGCACTGTGCTTCTGGGAGGAGGCGGGGGCCGAAGCTGTGTGGCGGGGGAGGTACGCACCCATGGATGCTGGAGGGGGCTCTACACTGCCATAGTTCCTCTCCCCGCCTTCCCTTTAGGCGGGGGCTGGAGCACTAGTGGGAGGAGAAGGAACAGGAGGCGACTGCAGCCACAGCAACTTGGAGCAGCTGTGCAGGTTCCCTGCTCTTGCCTTGACTGGACATCTCTACCTCCTCCTCCCGCCTCTTGGCTGGGGCTCCTTTTCCCTTTTCCTCATCCATGGCAACCTCAGTCCCATCACTCCCTCAATATTGCCCCTGTTCCCCGCCTTCTGCCATCACATCTGCCCCCTCTCTGTCTTTTCAAGGACCTTTAATGGCTTGGACTCTCCAGTGACCACTACCTGACTTGTTTGTGCCACTGGTGGCCACCACAATGAGTAAAATGAGTAAAAAAGCCCATGCACAGTGAGGCGGGGCAGGACTTAGGCATAGACGCTTCATCTCTCTAGTTACCGATTGGTACATATGGAAAAGAGGATGAGGCTACCAAGTATTAGCTGGGGTTGTGGCAGAGAATTGGTTGTTAAACTATTTGAATCCCACCACTACTTATAGCCATTATAGTGACCCTTATCAAAGTTACAACAGCCCTGAAAAAAGTGACTTACACAGTATCCCCTAGGTCGTGTGATCAAAATTCTGGCACTTGGCATCCGGCATGTATTTACAGTGGTTGCAGTGATCCAGGGCCACGTGTGATTGCTATTTGTGAACTTCCCAGCCTCCTCCTGACAAGCAAAGTTAATGGGAGAAGCCAGATCTTCTTGACTGCATGTTTCATTTAATTGTAGTGATTTGCTTAACAATGGGAAAAAGGTCATAACATTAGATGCAACTCATTTAACAACTGCCTTGGAAATAATGGTCTCAATTTTGTTCATAAGTGGAGGGTTTTGTGTGTACAGAATCTGACACATAGAAATTATTATTGTTTCATTGTGTTGCTGCTTGTAAAAAGGTTAGGTTCCTACTCATTAGTATCTCCATTTTTTTGTTGGAAACATGGCTGTGGGGTTAAAAAAAGTGTGATATGGGCATGAGGTGGAATAATTGAGCCAATGGCATTGCCTAATTATATTAAATAATTTTTAATTTAATTCTTTATATTTTTTTCTCTTATAGTGGCAGGGGGAGACCCAAGAATTCTGCCCTAGTGCCAAAGTAGTTTTGGTGGGCTGCAAACTGGACATGCGCACAGACTTGAATACTTTACGGGAACTCTCCAAACAACGCCTTATCCCTGTTACACATGAGCAGGTGTTTATCTTGCCTTTAATTAAAATATGGGTTAGCCTTGGTTAAGCCTCAACTTGCTGCCATGGGGGGGGGGGGGAGGAGTGAGGTCACAGAGGACTGATACAAATCCCCATGAATACCTATGGCAGGAAATTTGGGACTTAACCTGGGCTAGTTCTGACAGTAGCCATATAAGTTTGCTGATACAATTAATCAGACTGATTCAAGAGACCAAATCATTTTGTGGTATCTCTATGGAACACCTTATCATGAAAGAACTGCCAAGTGTTAATGTAGCTAAATAGTAATAATATAGGTAGTCCTCAACTTACAACAGTTTGTTTAGTGACTGTTCAAAGTTACAACAGCACTGAATAAAATGACTTATGACCATTTTTCAGTTAGTCTTTGCAGCATTCCCATGATCATGTGATCAAAATACAGATGCTTGGCAACTGGTTCACATTTATGACAGTTGCAGTGTCCCAGGATCATGTGATCACCTTTTGTGATCTTCTGACAAGCAAAGTCAATGGGGAAGCCAGATCCACCTAACAACCGAGTTACTAACATATCAACTTCAGTGATTCACTTAACAACTGTGGGAAGAAATGTCCTAATATGGGGCAAAACTCATTTAACAAATGTCTGACTTAACAACAGAAATTTTGGGCTCATTTGTGGTCAAAGACTACCTGTAATTTGGGCAGCTTAACCTTGCCTGAAAGCATGGATTTTAATTGATGCTGGGCTTTCATCCATATTTTATATTTTACAGTTCTAATTTGGCTCCGTATTTGGATTTAGATTTCTACTGCTTTCATATTTCAATGCTTCCATTTTAATTGTGTCTTGTCTTTTCTTCTTTTCTTTTTTCTTCTTCTTTTCTTTTCAGTAATCTATCCTGAGGGCCTTTTTAAACTTCTAAATGCATTATTAAATATATTGAACTATAGTAAACCTCAGAACGAGAAGTCCCTCATTGTGGAGGCATGCAGGGTTGAGCCCCAGTACTGTCTTTTTTTTAAAGAGGTGAATTGGATCCTGACTTGTGCTTATTTTGCTAAAATTGATCATAGAGGCCAAGGTGCATCAGCCATGGGTATATGCAGAGGAAAATAACAAATCCTTTTCTGTCTTAATGATTTACATACCTGTGTGCACTGTAACAGCATTTGGACAAACCATGCTAATGCCAAAATGATATCTGTGTGATTACATCATTGTGCAAATGCCACAGTTATGTGCAGTTAGTCCTTGACTTATGACCAAAATGGAGCATTTATATTTATAAGTTGTGCCAATGTTAAGTAGGTCATCCTGTGACCATGCCCAGTTTTACTACCTTTTTTGCAGTGGTTCTTAAGTGAATGTAGTGGTCATAAGGGAATGCCATGGTCATTAAATAAACCCATTGTCCTCAATGGGTGTTTCTTGCCAAAAACCAGAAATAAACACAAGTTTCTGAAAAATAACACTGTAGATCATGGTCACACAATTACAGGATGCTGCAAACAGCCATAAATGTCGGCCAATTGCTAAGCGCCTAAAATGTGATCACATGACTAAAGGGGCAGCTGTCAGAACTTCGTACTTTTTTTTGAGTCTTTGGATCAGTAGAGGACTACCTGTATTTGCATATGACACCTAACAATCTACCTGATCTTAGCTGATCTTAGCTGTGATGCTTGCATGACATCATGCTCTCCTTGGGCCTCCCCACAGATGACCAAGCACATGTATTTTTTTCCCTCTTCCTTTTATGCATATACACAAAAGTGCTTTTTAGCAGTAAATAACTGCAGAGTAGTCTAAAATACTGATCCACTCTGTGATTCAAACAGATGAAAATGCACAGTATAAAAACTTCTAATAAGAAAAAGTACCCCTCCCAGCAGAGGCAGTTTTAATTTTAGATGAATTTCTTATTTATCTGAGCTGGTGTGTTCCCTGAGTTTCTCTTAATGTCTTTTAAAACAGTACTGCAATCTGCCTTGTCCTGCCTATGCAGATGAGCAAAGCCCTGTGCATTCAAAAGTTCCCTGAAATAACTGATAACGGAAAGAGGAGAAACAACAATATGAAGTCCAACAGAATGAAGTTCTAGGGCTAGAGGCTCCATTGCTGCTAATTCCACCAGCAGAATCTTCTGCTCCATATCCCAGTTGCAACCTTCCAAAGGGGAAAGCTGTGCTAGCTTGTTTTTAACCTTCTTTCCCACCTTGACATTCACAGATCCTACCATGTTTCACACCCTCCCTCTTTTAGACATAGTGCCTCCTGCTCCATTTTTAAAAGACACCCCCTGTATCCTATCTTCCAGGGAAAGTATTAAAATTAATTAAAAGCTGTGAAAGAAACACAGAGAGGTGATAGGTACTTGTCAGAATGTGGGGGAGGAGAAGGGAGGTGATTGCAATGTAACAAGCAATTACCTGACTAGGGTGAGGGGAAGAAAACAAAAGGCTGTGGATGAAATTCTGGCATAATGCAATAATCTGTTTTCCCTTTACAGGGCAGCATGCTGGCCCGGCAGTTGGGTGCTGTGGCATATGTAGAATGCTCTTCCAAAGTGTCAGAGAATAGTGTGCGGGATGTTTTCCATGTGACCACACTGGCCTCAGTCAATCGGATTCATAAGCACCTCAAGCGCAGCAACTCAAAGCGAGGACTGAAGCGGATTACGCAGATGCCTGGACGGACAGATTTATTGACTGATTCTGAGATCCGCAAAGACCGGGCCAAAAGCTGCTCGGTGATGTGAGAGCCAGCACAACTGCAGAGGGGCTGAAGTATAGCACTGCCTGTCCATATCACTTTGTGTAGTAACTGGGAATGGAAGGTTCTCTGCACTGAGGGCCACATTCCCCACGATGTAGGTCAGAACAAACCTACAAGGCCTGTCTGGAAGCTGAGTTGGGAGGGATCTGCCTGAAACTGCAAAATGCTCAGCATAGTGCAAAAGCATCTAGATGGCCCACAGTTGCACAAAATACAGAAATGCTCAGGTAGTAGACATCTTCCAAAGAAAGGAATACTTCCCCATGAGAAGCACTGGAGGTGATAAATACTTCAAATCTTCTTAAGAGTTATTATTTCAGAATTAGTTTCAAATGTGATGTCCAGACAACCCAAGTATCTGGCATTTTTGGTTGCTGTGGGGTGTGGCAATCAGTCCACGCCCACAGCATGTGTGCACATGTATATTTGTGCTCATGCTTGAGGGCAGTCATGGAATAAAAGAGTTACAGAAGAGTCAGAGCAAATGGTGGTAATTTTAGATGAAAAATGGGAACAATTAGGGTGGCGGGGGGGGGAGGGGAAAGGACTGATAGTTTTGGACAGCTCCCAGGGCATTTGACACTCTGGATTAACTGACAGGTCATTTTGTCTCAAAGGTGTTTTTTCAAAAGGCAGCTGAACTTTCTTTGTTTTTCCTCATGTTGTGCCATGAGGACTGCAGTCATTCTCCACCATTCAGTCAGAACTGAGAAAGCTTCTTGCATGACAAGTGAAATATCTTCAAGGAAAAATCAAGAAAGTCCAGCTGCCTTTTGAAAGAGCACCTTTGGGACCACCATGACTTGGATGATTGAGAATCTCCATAGACATTTGACAGGTCACTTTGCTACATCAGAGACAATTGCCAAGAAAGTAGCTCTTTTGGAAGAGATGGTTTTCATTATCTCTACCAAGGGTGAAAGCTGGAAGGCTCAAAAGTTGTGTCCACTGGAGCCTTTGTTTTCAATAACAGTTGCTGTGGTGTTCACTTGACTTGTATGACACCTACAAGTCCTTTTTGTCTACAAATTTGATAGTCTGTCATGACCATGGCTGCATCATAGGCAAGAATCAGTTCTTCTTGGTCCCCATTCTTGTTTCACGATCTCCTTTCATGGGATGATGCACATGGATAGGATTGAAGGAATGCCTTTTGCTCCTGGGAAGGAGAAAAAAAGGATAGCTGACGGGTAGTAAAATGTCTCTAACATTGTAAATCAGATATTGGGAAATGCATTGCTGTTCCATCTTTTGATTTGGGCTGCATTTCTTTGAGGTGGATGTTGCTGTAGAGGTGTAACCTACCTCAGATTGTTGGCAATTCAACTGTTTTTGATTACACGGGAGTGGGGAAAAGTCAAGATGCAGGCTTTCATAATTATTTCAATATTTAATGGCTCTTGGATCGCAGTGTGATCCTAATGTGTCTACAGATATCTTTCTTGGTGCTCTGTAAACTCTTGGCTCCCAGAATCTAAAAGATTCTTAAATTAAAAATAAATGGCATGGAGCAGAACAGTAGCAGCCAGCTTCATCTTTATTTCCAAGAATACTTTGAGGTATTAATGACATTTTAAAAGGTAAAATAATGATGGTGTATTATCTATATAGATGCCACCAAATTATTCTAACTCATGTCATAATAAAATGAAATACAATTAAAACATCACAAGGGAAAAACCCAGATATAATAGCCATGCTAAAAAATACTTAACTAAAATTTTAGTTCTTGGCATTAAAATTGTATGGCACCAGGATCCCATATAACTAAGAAAATAATATTACTAACAATAAATAAAATGAATAAAAAAGACAAAATGGATTTATGGGAGTCTGAAGGAATTTGTTGCTTTCATCAGAAGGATGAGAACAGAAACATGGTAGCATACCAGCAGCTCCATCCTTTTTGTACATGTGTGCAACAACAGCACATTAAGAGCAGAATTTGTGTTACAATATCATGATACTGTTTTAGTTATTCTGCCTCATCTGCAAATGTCACTGGTTATATGGCTGGGGGGGGGTGTTAAATTGGATTAGCAGACAATACAATAACTATAAGAGGCGGCAGCAAGCCAGTTTACCTTCTAATCAGCATTTTGCAAGTAATCATGCTAACCATGGTAACATAATTTCTACCATGGTTGCAAAAGCACCCAACATACTTTCAAAATTCTAGTAGTCCAAAAGAGTCAGGGCCTTCTCATCAAATATTACATAAAAAAGGACTTCTTTTGAGCAAGTGAAGGACCCTAAAGCTTTAATGATGCAAGTTCTTGAGGAAGACAAATGGGACATTTGTGCTGCTACAGACAAACTGCCTATGAACTGATCTCCAGATAGGTTGGGATTATGACTCCCAATATTTCCCTGAACGAAGTGGAATAGTGACTGAGAATTTTTAAGAGTTATATAATCCTAACCCAACCAAGTAAGGTTGTTCCTGTAGATCTGTATTTTTCAAACATGAAAAATTTACATTAAGACATGTAGACTTCATCTCCTAGAATTTCCTAGCCACCATTGATAGCTGTTGGCAATGGGGAACACCCAGAATTTCCCACGCTGGAAGTTGAAGTCCATACATCTTAAAACTTGCAATTTTGAAAAAAAAACTGCTGTAGATCATCAGTTGTTTCTGGTCTCTTGTATTGCTTAGAATATGATTTTAAAAGATGGGCCATTGAACCTTTGTTCTGATCTCCTATGAAATGATAAACTACCTCAGATCTCTGGAAATCACAAAATCAGAAATTTTGCAATCTCCTTGTGCCATGAACTACTATGGATGACTTCCTTCACCAGGAAGAATCATTCACATGCAGGATTAATAAGGGCTGCCTGTGTTTTTTGTCTGCTCCTTCCCCCCCCCCCGCAAGGTCCAGTTGTTTCTATGCTGGATTTGAATACAGCAACTCCATTGTCTTGGCCTTATATTCCAAAGCTATGCACAGCTGGTATTCTGGCATTCCTCTTTTTTAAAGCTTGGTATGGTTTGGGATTTTGACATAGGTCTTCTCAAATCACAGGGAACCACAGTACAATTGTGCAAAAATGTAGCCCGTCAGCAAAGTATTTATTTGGCATAATGAGTCTGGGAGTGATGTTCTCAGACATATTATAGAACTATTTCTTACTCACTTAAGAAGGAACAGGTCAAATAATATTGAATTTAGGTATCCAGTTATCATCAAGGACTAAAATTTTAATATATAGACTGCCTTCCCTAATCCCACAAAGAGCTTATTAAAAATCAGTTCTTCCTTCAAATTGCTTTCCTTGATTGTAACCATAAACATATTCAATATCCATTCTGAAATGACTACAAGTTTGCCAAACCATGTTTGCTTCTCAATTATTTGATGCCTCCTTATTTCCTAAGAAAAGCAAGATTCCCACAATTCTGGGACAGCAGATTTTCAACACTATTAAAGTTAGGGTTTAAGAACTTTTTCCCCTTTTTTGGTAGGACTTCTTTTTCCAAAAAGAGCCATGACAAATAGCATGAAACCAAAGGCAAAGGTCGACAGCCTCTTTTCTTGACCTGTAACATGGTGAAAAAGAAATTCTGTTCTTACTGGAAGTCTCAACTAGTTGCTTACAAAGTACTGAATGAAGGGACAAGGCCCATGCTAGTCCTAAATACTAACAGGTGCCTTTGAGTATGAATGAGTAGCTGCACAACCGAATGATGGATTGGTGTGTGTGTGTGTGTGTGTGCGCGCGCATGTATGTGCACACATGGTAAGAACCTGTGTACCCTTCACCTGCCAAATCTTGAGCTGCACTTGGAGAACACTATGTTGATGACAGCTGCCTGAGCTGTATGACTGACAAGTTGTGAGATTAAGAACAAGCCGTCATAGTTTCCCCCCCCCCATGGTGATGAGAATCATCATTATTTATTAACCTTCTTAATGTAATAATGCAAATATTACACTGTCTTCATTAATCGTTAATGGTATCCTCCCAATGCAATACTTTTATACAGCTTCATAAATTACAATACAGTACTAATTACCAATAGATCCCTGATAGAAAAAATGCATTGGAGCTTATATCATGTCACCTTATCTCCATATTTACAAATACATTTTCAAACAGGACAAATGTAGTTTGTGAGATTACACAGCATTTATTCTACTGTCCCTGGATAATGGGTGGATTCCTAGTAGACAATCACTTAAATATGAGCCAGCAGTGTGCTGCAGCTGCCAAAAAAAACCCAACACAATTCTAGGCTGCATTAACAGTGGGATAGAATCAAGATCACGTGAAGTGTTAATACCACTTTATAATGCCTTGGTAAGGCCACTCTTGGAATATTGCATTCAGTTTTGGTCACGATGTAAAAAAGATGCTGAGACTCTAGAAAGAGTACCGAGAAGAGCAACAAATATGATCAGGGGACTGGAGGCTAAAACATATAAGGAAAGGCTGCTGGAATTGGGTATGTCTAGTTTAATGAAGAAAAGGACTAGAGGTGACATGATAACAATGTTTCAATATCTCAGGGGTTGCTACAAAGAGGAGGGAGTCAAGCTGTTCTTCAAAGCACCTGAGGGCAGGACAAGAAGTAACGGATGGAAACTAATCAAGAAGAGAAGGAACCTAGAACTAAGAAGAAATTTCCTGAGAGAAAATTAACCAGTGGAACAACCTGCCTCCAGAAGTTGTGAATACTCCAATACTAGAAGTTTTTAAGAAGAAATTGCACAACCATTTGTCTGAAATGGTATAGGGTTTCCTGCCTGAGCAAGAAGTTGGACTAGAAGAACCTCCAAGGTCCCTTCCAACTTTGCTATTCTATTCTATTCTATTCTATTCTATTCTATTCTATTCTATTCTATTCTATTCGATTCTATTCGATTCTATTCCTATTCTCTACTCTACTCTACTCTACTCTACTCTACCCTATCCTATTCTAAATTCTCAACCTGTAACAGTTCATTTAGTGTCCATTTGATGTTAACACCAGTACTGAAAAAAGTGACTTATGACCATTTTTCACATGACCATTGCACCATCTCCATGGTGATGTGATTAAAATTCAGATGCTTAGCAACTCACATACATGACGGTTGCAGTATCCCAGGGTCATGTGATAATCTTTTGTGAACTTTTGACAAGCAAAGTCAATGGGAAGTAAGATTCACTTAACTATTGTGTTACTAGTTTAATTGCAGTGATTCACTTAACAACTGTGGCAAGAAAGGTTGTAAAATGGGATAAACTCGCTTAACAACTGTCTTGCTTAGCAACAAATTTTGGGCTCTATTGCAGTCATAAGTCAACAACTACCTGTAGTAACCTGGAGCTTTCTGAGTGGCTGGCCAGTGTAGAAGGCAAGAAGGAAACCAAGAACTTGTCAGTTTCACTACAGTTATTTGCCTGGATTAATGATGGGGAACTAGGAAGCTGTCAAGCCAACAATCCTCATATAGGATCTGCTAAAGGACTGAAAATCAAGGATTGGGAAGCTGGATTAAGGCAAGAATCCCTCATTGGAGAAATGGTCTACTCATAACCACAACTGTTGTGTCCTGGGCCTGCTGAAGCAATTCAGCAGGCCCAGAAATGTTGCAAATGGTCCTAGGCAACCTAAAAGCTGCCCGGGATCAGACTGGTTGGTGCCGGTATTGCACGCATGCGCAAGGCGCGAAAAGGGGGGTTTGTGATAGGATATTTTGGGAGACTATAAAAGGCCTGCACGCCTGTTATTTGCAGAGTGGTACAGTGAAACAAATAAAGAACTTGGTTAACAACTTGTGTGTCGCTTCAATGCCGCGAACCCCAATACATAAAAGTGGCAACGAAGGTGGGATCGCTGCAAAGAAGAAGACAACTCGAAGAACCTAGCCTCTACAAAAAGAGCTGGAAGCCGGGAAGTCGGCACCCAGATCTGCACTCACTTGCCAGTATGCAAACGCTGGAGGTGAGCTTGGCAAATGGGCCTCTTCCCAGCCTGAGTTGCAGTGAGCTAAGAGAAGCTGGCAATGTCGAAGATTGGCCGGTTGTCTGAATTTGACGTGTCTCACCCGGAGCGCTGGAACTCTTACATGGCCTAGATCAGAGGTAGGCAACCTTGGCTCTTTTATGACTCGTGGACTTCAACTCCCAGAATTCCTGAGCCAGCCACGCTGAGGGGAAAGGGAGAGGTTTCCAAGCTGAGCCATGCTGACTCAGGAATTCTGGGAATTGAAGTCCACAAGTCATAAAAGAGCCAAGGTTGCCAACCCCTGGCCTAGATGGAAAACTACCTGCGAGTTAACCAGGTTTGAGAAGACGGTTTGAAGGCAGCAACCCTGCTGTGTGTCTGCGGGCAGGACACTTTTGATGTGGCCAAAAATTTAGTAGCTCCTGCGCCACTTGAGTCTGTAACGTACACAGACTTGAAGAATATGCTGAAGGACCATTCCATCCGAAGCTATCTGTAATTGTGTGGAGGCATGCTTTTGAGCAGAGGGACCAGAAGCCTGGTGCTGTGGAATTCATCACTGCCTTGAGACAAGCTGC